TTCACAATGGGCCTCATTCACCAATATTTTCTTAAGAATTCTGTTAAATTGGTTCCTACAAAATTTGTTAAGAACAACTTACATCGGATTCATGACATGTTCTTAAGTAGCAGAATTGTTTGCACCTTTGTTCTTAAGAATGGTGAATCCCACATCTTCGTAACTGAAAGCGCGTGCCAGTTTGTCCTAATTAGCATAGGGAAACGCCCTGCAATTTCCCATAAAAGGGCATGAGACTGTAGGGCCGTGTGCAAGGAATAGCGATGAGACTGTGAGCCGCTTGGCACTAAGAGGAAAAAAAACTTAACTGATGCTGAAGTAGAAGTATTAATACAAAATCCTGTTACATTGTAAACCCAAATGCTCAAAATAATCAAAATTATTGAGTAGCATAAACTTAATTTTCTGTAACAGTTACACTAACCTAAATATTTTGAGTTTATGTGACTTTTTTTTATAGTTTTTGAGTGAATTAAACTGATTATTTTTAATTAACTGAAACAAAGTAAGTAAGTGCCACTTAGGTGTATAATTTAACTGTACTTATTTCTTGTTGTTTCAACATTGAGTGTGTGCTTGTGTGTGTGTAACCAATTGTTTGTCATTTTTTATAAAATTATATGTATTTAAATAAGTTAATATTTAAAAAATACTTAATTTTCCTAATAATGGTTGGGTCTTCATAAATTCAGCTGTAAAAGATTTTAGTAAGAAAAATATTCAATTCACTCTAAGCACAAATTTTACATACATTTATAGCTGGTTTAATGTGAGCACAAAGAGAATATTAAGGAATCACTGCTTAAGATAATAACGTAAGCAATTAGCTTATGAAACAAAAACTTAAGAAGATCGTAATTAAAGAGATCAGAATTGTAACGTCAATGTCAGTGTTTGTCAATTTGTTTGTCAATTTGTCAGTGTTCAACATTAGAGGTTTCTTTAACTATCGCAGGCAGGAAAAAATATGTTTGATTAAAAAGTTACGACTCGGTTGACGTAAGGGTCATCATTTTATTGGCTTACGAGGCTCACTTGCCACAAGGTCAAAGTGAGACTTGCGACGTTGTGGGAACGTGCAACACGTGGATAGTTTTTAAGTTACGTTGGTGCCACAAGTGACTGCAGTGCAGTGAGGAGGATGTAAGCTTCAAACTGTCGGCAGTTATCAGCAACGTCGGTGTCACGGTAAGTGTTAAATGTGTTTTTAAACAGGGGTTTATCTAGTGAACAGTTGCATCAAGACAAAACTTTAAACAGCGTTCGTCAGTTACATATATTTACATTCAAAAGTCATGGATGTCTAGCAAGGAATAACTGATGAAATAGGCCTAATAAAAGCAATGAACGACGAAGCATATGTTACACATCAGTTAACTTACATCATTTTTCAAACGGACCATAGTCTATAATTCCGCGTGTACGATTTAGCCAAACGTTACATTTGTTTTAAAGACATTAGGCGCTGAGATTTTTATGTCCATGCGTTACACGCGATTAAAAAACATCCATTGCTTATATCCATTGCTAATTTTGGCTGGTGTGCACAAAACTAGATAACTAAAAATATACTTTTCCCAATGTGTTGGCGTGCCACTGATATGCAAACTAGGGAGCTGGAGAGCATGTGCCATTGCAGAAATGTGCCAGTAAAACCTGTAATTTGGCAAAATAATATAGAGCCGTTATGTGTTAAAGTATTGATTGATGACGTCTGTTTCTAAATATAAAACAGCGCTGAGATGTCTATATGAAGAGGTCCACATTTATCATTTTCCTGCTTAATATTTAAACAGCCTTGTCCAATATATAGTACTCCCCTCTATGTTTGGTGTAACATTAACATACATTTTTCTATCTGTACACATGAAAAAACACATTACAACGAAAACAGTGTTAGTTGTATTCTCTGGTCATGATCATGTAACCTGTTAGTTGACTTGTACTTAATAATTAAACTATTTTGATTGAGCTATACACTTACTAACATTAATTTTGTTTTTCTTTCAGGTTGTTGGCTACAGTATGACTTGGCAATGTAAGTTGTGCTCAGCTTCTTTTACTGACAGATTGCAAATATTTAAGCACTACAGACTGCAGCACAGTCACTTTTCCAGTGTAAGCCCCCTTCCATGCATCTATAATGCTTGCACGTGTACATTTAAGACACTTAATAGTCTTAGAACTCATTTGTCAAGATGTCATACTCGCCAATTTGGCATTAGTGCAGAACACTCTCAGCAGGCTCTGTTATTTAAATGCCCTTTATGCCCATTTCAGCAGCAATTTTCTGAATCTGTTCTTTTCTGCCATCTTAGAAGGCATTTAAGAAATCATGAAACAGTGGCTTGCCCATATAAGGATTGTAGCTTTACCACAAATGTATACTCTTCATTCAATTCTCATAAAAGTAGCTCACACCAAGCAAGCGTTTTGTCAGACTTTCAAAATGACATTGTCAGTGAAGTTGGTCAAGCCAGTATTCCTGCAGTTGATGGTGATTTGTATGAAGAACCTCCAGGCACAGATGAGGATCCAGTGGGGGATGATGGTCAGTGTGACACTGACGAACTAAAAAAACATCTCAGAATGAATTTATCTTCCTTATTTTTGAAGATGCAGGCAATCCTACATGTCTCAAACACAGCTACCCAAGAAATTGTGGAGCATTTAAATCAGGTCTGCTTCTTATCTCAGCTTTTGATCAAGGAGGCAATTAGAGATATATTGCAGAAAAATGGTTGCAATGTGGCAGAATCTGCATTGGATGAAGTTGTAAGTGCTGTTATGGATTCCAATGTTATATTTACTAGTACTTCTAAAGGTGCAGAGTTATCCACATCCAAGCGCAGAAAAGTCTTTTTCGAGCACAACGATCCGTGTGTAATGCCAGTCGAGTATCAGCTGGAGCAATGTGGACATACCATAATGTATGTTCCTATTCTTCAAATGATTCAGGAGTTGTTTAAAAACACAGACATTCTAAAAATGATTACTGATCCAAATACCAATTCTGGTCAATATGCCTCATGCTACAATGGCTCATATTTCCTTGAAAATGAATTATTTTCAACAGGTGATCTCATTCTACCACTCCAGCTATATATTGATGAGCTTGAAATTGCCAACCCACTTGGCACATCACGTAAAATTCACAAACTTTGTGCTGTATACTGGGCACTTGCCAATATGTCACCAAAATACAGGTCAGCATTACACAATATACAGCTAGCAATGCTTGCAAAAGTGATAGACCTCCAGAGGCATGGGTATGCAGCAGTACTTGCTCCATTATTACGTGATGTTCATATTCTTGAACAGGATGGTGTCTTTATTGAAAGACTTGGTCGCAATGTCAAAGGCACCATCTTTTGTGTGTCTGCTGACAATCTAGCTGCCCATGGATTAGGTGGCTTTGTGGAGTCATTTAAAGCAGGCTATGTTTGCAGATTCTGCTTGGCCACAAGAGAACAGTTTCCAGCAACTGAAGCCAGGCAGTTTTCTCAAAGAACCAAAGACAGCCATGACCTTCATGTACAAAACATTCAGGAAAATGACACTTCCTCCAGCCACTTTGGTATTAAAGCTAGTTGTGTCTTGCGTGACTCCCTGGATTACTTTCATCCAATCACAGGCTTTCCTCCAGATGTCCTTCATGATCTTCTAGAAGGCATAGTTCCTGTGGAGCTTTCTCTCTGCATTAAGACCTTGATCCAGATGAAGTACTTCACTTTAGAGTATTTGAACCAAAAGATTGCATCATTCCCATATCAACATGCTGATAAAGTGGATAGGCCTCAACCAATTCCCAAAACATTTCTGTCTCGAGGAACGATAGGAGGGAATGGACATGAAAATGCTACTCTGCTCCGACTGCTTCCATTGCTTGTAGGCAGTGTTGTAGCAGAAGGTAATGGTGCATGGACAGTTTTGATGGAACTGAAAGAGGTAGTGCAGTTAGCATTATGCCCATCATTTACTGATGAATCCTTAGACTATTTTCAGTCCAAAATCAGCGATCATAAGCAAGTACTGTTGAAGACATTCCCAGAGTTTAGCCTTCATCCTAAACATCACTACTTGGAGCATTACCCCACCATGATCAAGTGCTATGGGCTCCTGGTGCATGTTTGGACAATGCGATTTGAGGCCAAACACCGTTTTTTTAAACGAGTGGTGCATGACGCTCAAAACTTCAAAAATATTTTGAAGACAATGGCAGTCAGACACCAACACATGATGGCATACCATCTTGCTGCCCCATCATTTTTCAAGCCAGAAACACAAGCATCCAGGGTTGACTCTGTTCTGGTTTCAGCTCTACCAGAAGTAGCTCAGCTACACATTAGAAGACTAACAACTAGTGACACAATATACCAGACATCAAAGGCTACCATTGATGGCACAGACTGTGAAATGTTTTTGTCTGTCGGAGACAGTGGTGGACTACCTAGCTTCTGCAGAGTAGAGCACATCTACCTTGTCAATAGCACTGTTTCATTCCTTTGTTCTAATTATGATTGCTGGTATTTAGAACATCTTGGATCCTATGAGCTGTCACCTTCCCAGACAAGTCTGTCAATCCACCTGAAGTCTGATCTCAACGATTCAGTCCCGCTCTCTGCATACGAGGTAGAAGGCTCGCTTCTGTTAACACCCAAGAGATTCATACAAATAAAACAGAACTGAGTCTAGCTAGTGGTGAGTAGTTTTTAATGAATTAATTACTATATTTTTATTACTGTTTATCTAGCAGCAAATAATCTGTATATTTTAATAACCATTTATGCATGCCAATCTTTTGCTTTCCAGTAGCATAATGGCAGATCTATCCCCACAACCCATGGTCCTTCATGTTGTTGAACCAGACCGGGCTAGAAAATTTAAACTCGGTTCACGACCAGCCTCTATTGATGCACTGATTGCTGTTATAAAAGAACAGCTGGAAATAGACCTTGACTTCAGTTTAAAGTATGAAGACCCCGACTTACAAAAAAACTTACATCCCTTTCTGACATTGATGAGTTGCACAGAAAGCTGTTGTGCATGTGTCTTTTGAGCAAGATTCCAGCTCTGTTGCCTCAATGGAAACAATCTCAAGCGTATCATCCTCAGAACGTGGGAGAAAATGGCCTTCAGTTCTTTTTTCAATTCCCACATTTTCTTTGGATGTTGAATTGAAACTTCGAGAAGGTAATGCCGAATTTGAGAAGAACAACAAGTATCTTCAGTTAACAAGAGACGTAAAACATGACATTTTAGAAAAGCTAGCATCTGAGATGTATGGCTACAAGGCTTATCCCAGTGATAAGGAGATAGCAATGGTAGCTGAGGCTCTTGTGTTAAAATATCCTTGCTTGAAGGAAGCAGGATCTGAAACTGGCTGGAATGGATGGAAGAACAGCCTCAAGTTTAAGATGGGCAACTATAGGAGCAAGATGAGAAGGGCTGGATGTCCAGAGATGACAGTGAATGCTGGAAAAAGAAGTAGAATGAATCCTGACAATGAATCTTCACATTCAAATATTAAAAGACCCAAACGAGCAGAGGTAAACTTTCTGCCCAACTTTCCCCAAGGAGAAAATCCCTCAACCCTTGAACAGCTGAGGCAGAAAGTCGTTGATGAAATGAAGAAAGCTGAGAAGAATTTACTGCTTATAAAAAAGATGATGCAAACCACATTTGCCCTGCGGCGACAAACCATAGTGAAGACATGCCCACCAGTGAAAGAGCTCATGGAACTCTGGCCTGCACTCAAAATGGAATCTGAGGTAATGTAGTAGTACTTTTTCCTGTTATTTCTTTTTTTTTTGACAACATATACCACATTCAGGGGCTGTTTTCTGCCTTATGGAGGAGTAGTAGATTTACCAGATTCACATAGTTAATATGGCTGTGTTGTCTGTCTGTCTTTGTTTTAAAATATAGGTGTATGCAGAGTTTCAACGGATTACAACCCAGAACCTGCCCAACACATTCTACTCTGTGCTTGACCGACATCTTCCTAGACTGATGACCCTGTTCAGACAGAAGGCAGGCAGAACCGGGAAGACGTCGGATGCTTTGACTGAAATCCTAAAAATCCATGATGAACAGGTAAAAATATTGTTATACCTATTTTATAGGTCTAATTCTTAATTTAAAGAGGAACATTGGAAAACATTTGAAAAGTTTGATGATTCAAATGAGCTTTGAATACAACAACTTGTCCACTTTTTTTTTGGTATTTGTCTGATTTTGTATATCTGATTGTATTGTTTAACATTAA